CCCCCCCTTGAAGCATGCTGGCTACGGGCCTGTATCCCCTTAATAAGAGTGTCCCAAAGGAGAGGTTCTAATGTAGTCTCATTTCATGTAATCACAACATCACTGATGACATAAAAATGGTGTTCACTACCACATCAGGGCTGAAAAAGTCAACATGATCAAGTATGCCTACAGCTACCAAAGGTAGCGGTTTTCAATTGAACAATAATTATAATATAATATTTATATTAGTATTAACAATAACAATAATAACTATATCTGAAAGTAAAAATCATTATTTGACTCTTTACAACACATTTCTGATGGAATAGAGAGAGTGAGTTTGGGATGTTTAAAGAAAAAGGGGAAGAAAGTAAGCAGAAATTTTCTTAGCTTGAAATTTAACTAAAATTGATAAAGATTACCTTTTACAGTCACATTATACATTCCTAAATTTAAACTATATTTACTTACCGATTTAGAATTCTCAGTTACTGGACATATACTGATGTTGAGATAGGTACAGAATAAAGAGTCTGGGGGAGACGATGTTGACATAAATGACCCCAGTGCTGAATTTACTAATCTCTATAATAGGACATAGGAATAATCATTATTTTCCAGACACACACAATGAAAAACCATTTATCATTAGGTAATTTTCTTTAGGGTTCTATTATTGTGCTAATGTTAAAAATCCAAACATTCAGAACTCTCTTTGCCATAATTGGCTGTAATCTGGTCAATTTCTTTACCTGGCAATGATTGGTACCAATAGCTAACCTCTTAGCATAATCGTTAGCGACATGTTGCTTCTCAGTGCCACTGTTGAAGTAATAAAAATTTCATCAATAATAAATTATTCTAACATCCACCATTCATAATAAATAAACAATTATATAAAAAACCATTTTACAGGTTATTCTTAACCAGCATTACAATTTAATTTTTTATGTCATTTTAATTGGTAAGATAAATCTAATTTTTTTTAATGTTTTAAGACACAAAACATATTCAATATAACATCATTACCATTATTCCTATGTTAGATACATATGGACAAGCTATATTACTGAGGTGTATCATCAATTAATTTGAACATCAATAAATTCAATTGTAAAAACTGACTGTACCTTACAGCATCATGATGTTGTGCCACTGCCATTGCCCTCCCTACACAGACAATTTAAACAAAATAACAATAACTAAAGATAACTAGGCATTAAAAGGTTTACGTAAACTTATTAGTTTTTTCATGATATAATGATGTGGGGTTTATTTTCCCCTTGTATTTAAATTATTATTAGTTAAGTTGACGATGTTTAACTATGGATGTAAAGTCTGAAATAAAGAATAATGAATTGAGTAAGTAGATAAAATGTTGATTGAAATAGAGATCATTATAGTATGACACAATAAAAATAACACTAACAAAAATAATAAGCACAACACAAATAATCAACAACAACACCAACAGATTAATTCCATCTGCAGTCTCCCACAAGCCCCGCCTCCCCCGAAAATCGGGATGGCCATTTAACCGGATCTCACAACGATTAACAACGGTCACTTGTTCAAATTTGGGACCCCTGCATTTGTGACAAAGTAAAAACATCAAAATAAATAGTGAACGAATTTATTATTATTTTTTTTAATCATTTTTAAAATCCTTACAATGTGGTTGTTGGGGGAGGGGTTATGGCACCACGCATTCATGACAACTGTGACTGCTAAAAAGAACAATCACATGACAACAGATCACTGAAAATAGCTGCAAGGTTCTGCATATAGATATAGCATTACTTTGCAAGCTCTAAATATATATTTTCCTCTTTATTAATCATAGCTATATTACCGAGAGTCTTGGATTCTGCTGTCTTGTCATTATGCTGCTGAGATCCAGCTAAAACTTCAAGTTGTTTACAAATCTGAAAGATAATCAAATCCAAAGTACTGATCGGTTAAAAAGAAATTAAATCCTCATTGGCTATTAATCCGTGATTTTATATTACAGAAAAGTTCATTAATTTTATGTGATTATCCTTAAATGGTCACCTGCAATTTCATATTTTAAAATAAATATTACATTTTCATATTTTAATGACAAAAACTAAGTTGTATTTTTTATTAAATGCTCTCCACACTGAATTGTCAAAGCATTCATGCTAATGAATTTATACTCTCAGTGGCTTGGTGATTTTGACTGAATTCTTTGTTTCCGTTTACAGGTTTCATGGTTTCTCTGTAGTTTAGTTTTCGGTATTCATAATTCTAAAAAATGTAATGTTCAAACCAGGAGCCTCAGAAATTGTTGGGTTGCCAAAAAATATTTCCCTTTGCAAAATTCATTATTTGCAGGTGTAGGTTCACGAAACAAAATATAAAAAATTGTCTGGTTAGGCCAAAAAAAATAAATGTTCTGTCTCTGGTCCGCGCGTGCGTCGATTTAGACCCTGCGCATCAATTTTTTTTTTTTTTTAACGGACATACAACATCCAACATCGCCACCTATCCCGAATTTTGGGGTGCAGCTTATCCATTTAGGTTAGGCCATTGCTAGCCCAATTAATTAGCCTAGGGTAGGACCGGTTTGTAGGCCTAGTATTTGTAATTACACTCACTACAGTGCATGCTGTACTAGGATTCCTACTACGATTTCTACGAAATTCAAGCAATAGTTTGGGTTGTCTAAATTATTCATTCATAAACAATTTTGAAACACGCTGTTCGAAAACTACCGAACTACTTTTCGCGAGCAGCTTCATTTACGAATGTCGCAACAAAACACACGTGGGCTGGTTGTTGAAACTTGCTGTTCGACGCTCCGGGTTCCCTGGTGGCTTGTACCTTTATAGAGAGAATGATCCGCTAAAATTTCAGAATAAAAACTTGTGAAATTAATTCATGCTATAAAAACACAAGTTTTCTTGATGTTGTAATAATTATTTTACTTAAATTTGACTTTAGAAAGGCATTCGTCATCTGAGTACGCGTAAACTCTGTATTGCACGATATTTTCTCCACTTCTGTTTTTGTTTATAAAATGTGGTGCGTGATGTGTGCATGCTTCGCACCGAACGCTTCACACAATGGGCTGTGAGTAGTAATGACTTAGGCCTAGAATTACCAACAATATATTATATTAAGCTTAATACGACTGTTATTAGTCACCATAATAATAGAATTATTGTTTAAAATATATAAATATACTCAATATGTAATTTATTTTCTTAGATTTTATTAAACTAAACTGATGCTGAAATTTTAACGTAGCGTGACCGTCTAGCATGAAATGGGGATTTCCCTAGAGCAGGAATATGTTGCTTCATTGCGGTTGCCTGAAGTTTACACGCATTTCCAGTTGATTGTCATCTTTTTTAATAGAAAAAGATGAAATTTGTAACATTTGTAAATAATGTCAGTGTTTCAAAATAATTTAAAAATTTAAATTATGGGAACGGTTTGAAGCTTAAAAAATAGATGCGGCTTATACACAGAGAGGTGACAAAAAAATTGTGATATTTCGCATCCTAATTAGGGGTGCGGCTTATACACAGGTGCACCGTAATATAAGGGACCTTTTGGCATTTTATTGTGCGATACCGCAGCTCGGCGAGTTTGCTGAGTGTGTAAGTATGTGATGAAAGTCTGTCATCCTCCTCAAGCAGTGGTGAGGACATTTGCACCCAGGATCGAAGAAAGTCACGGCTATGGTGGTATCCTCGCCCATCGGATTTTTTCAAAGCGTACCCATTAATGCTGATAATGATGATGAATTAAGACGGGGTCCACTTGGCAAATGAAGCGAAATCGAGGATGTGGAATGTGGAAGGACAACAATGTATAGCATTAGCAGAACATAAAAAAGATACTAAGAACACCTTTTCTGTACTTTCCATGCTTTTCAAAAAAAAAAAAAAAAAAAAGTAGAAAAGAAAAAAAAACCGCATCGCCACATCAATTCTGTAACTTTGGTCTAACCAGAACCAGAACATTTATTTTTTTGGCCTTATCAAATACATTTTTATCTGATAGTTTATTGCCAGATTACATTTAAATAATGAAATATGGCTCTTCACTGGTCATTTATATTCTTAAATTATTTCCTATTGTCATGCTTATGTAAATTATGATTGAAGCACTTAACACACTTTACTTCAGGAACCCTGTTATAATATGGAGCAAATCTTTAAAATCCCCCATCAATTTTGACCATTTTAATATTTTAAATGTACCCTTCCTCTGTTATTAATAATGTGGTTTCATATTATTAGTACTTAATGTCTGAACTTGGTAGTTTATCAATAACATGTAAGTTAATTTAATAATATTTAAGTTAGTTTAAGTTTGTTTAGGTTTATTTTTTTCTGAATAAATACACTGAAGTTATATTTAAGTTATACATTATATTTAGACTTTTCAATTAACGATTTTCATGGACGCACCAAATTGTTTATGGTATATGTGTGCCACTGTTGTGAAAGTGTGGTAAAATAATCTTATCTTATCCTATCTGGTCAATATTGGTTAGCAAATAATGTATCTTCATTGGTTGATAAACTACAACCTCATCATATAATAACAAACCTACCTGTAGGAAATTGTTTGAAATTCGTTCATAGTACTTGAGAGCAGGCCTGCTGGTAAAATATCCTGTCCAATAACTATGGGGGTGATCAGCATATGGGAAGAAGTCATCGCTTTTAGTTGTCCAGGTCTTGTCAGCTTCATTTAGGCTCTTTACATAACATGAAGGGGTTGAATACAATACGTTGATCTTACATTCATCTCCCTAAACAATAAATTTGTAAAACATACACAAAGTGATCTGTATCTTTGGTTCATATTTATTTCATATCAAACAAGAAACAGAAGAAATATCTTTTTCAATTAATTGTTAAATATTATTTATAATCAAAATAAATGTGACCCATACCTGCTTGTTGACATATTTAATGAGCTTGTCCATGTTTTCAAACCAAGGAAGGGCATTCTCATATTGGAAGTCAGAGCCCATTGTCATCATAATGTGGTTTGTCTTGAAATATGCCGCCTTATAGAAAAATTAAAATAGAAAATGACAGCAATTCATAATATACCCTTAAAAATGTCACAAAAAATAAACGGGCATATTAGAAGCTTATCAGCAGTGATTCTGTCTCTTATACCCATCTAGATGTGTATAAGAGACAGGNNNNGTCTTACATAAGGCTCAAGCAGTGACATTTGGAAATCAGGGTCAGTCTGTTGGCATTTTTCCCCTCTTTTTACTATTGCCTATGTAAACTTAATTAGTTAAATATTTTAAATGTTGATTTAAATTAATTAACTTAAGTTGTGATGTCATCATACATTACCTGTTTCTTGGCATATTTAATGAACTTGTTCACCTGGGCATCCACATTATAATCAAATAAATCTGGATCATCCTATATATTAAATTAATAAAAACTGAATAAAATCAAATATATTTATTTTGTTTACATGTGAAAATATAATTATTGTCTGGAAAAAAATAATGGGAAAAAATATAAATAATACCATAAATTAGCATGTTAAAATAAATGTTTATATTACATTGAGAAATGTTAAACTGAGATATAATGAAATCATAAATAATTTGTGATGTCCTACTTGAATAGCTATCTGCAAACCAAATGCAGTAAAATATTCATTTCTATTTAGTCATACAGCAAAAAAAAAAAGATAAGTTGAAGTATAAGCAAACTATTCTGGAGTACAAAAATCAATCTACAAGTCATAAGCAAATTAACATAAATTTTTTTAGTCACTAAAAGCCAAACTGTAACCAGCAGCATACAAAAATAGCATGAAAACATCCAAAAAGTTAGAAAAGAAAAATGAATATTATATAGCAAATACATCATGTTTCATATACTACTGTACCTGAATTGGTGGGTCATTACAAGTCTGGTCATAGCAGAACCCTGGGGGCGGGTTATAATGAGCAAAGAGGGCGCCAAACAGCAAGTCAGCTTCTTTGCCTAAACTTGAACTACCATGCCATATGGCTTCCATTTCATGTCGCATCAATCGATTTATTTTATCAGCATAATCCAGTCGGGCAAAGAAAAATCCATCAAAACCCATCTGAAAATGTATCATTTTTTTTTATCAAAAAGTAATTACACAGTAATAAACTCCATCAATATTATGACTTTCTAGAATAAAAGACCCATAAATAATACTAAACTTTATTTACATAAAAAAAATATGACCAATGAATAACTGATGCAATCACCTGGGCAAATATTGATGCTTGCTCCCTGGAGTGACCAAATGGATCAATATGCCATGCTACAAGTGGGCGTCCACAACTTCCAAACGTATCATTGAGGAAGCGAAGACCAAGCGTCATCTGATCAATGATAGAATTGTAATGAGTTGCCGCTTCATCATTCATGCACCACCCACCATTAATAAACTCCAGACGACCTATAATTGTTAAGAGAAATGAATTACAGAACTATCAAAAACTCATGTCAAAAAAACAAATGTCAAAACAAAGGAAAATGTGGCAAAGACAAGCCAAACCAGTCACTCGTCGCAAAAATCGAATTTGTGTTAATAATAAAGTGTTAGAGAGTAAAATAATAGCTATAAAATGGTAAAAAAATCATTCAAATCAGACATTTCTTTATGAAGTTACAAGCGTTTAACCACACAGCTGTTTAAAGAACAATATATGAGAAATCAGCCTTTAAAGTTTATGATTTCAGGCATATCTCATGCAGAAACTATCTTTAAATCCTTAAAAAGTGTTGTTTTAACATTGAAAATGGGAAAAATAACAGCATAGGATGGTGTGTAGATATATAAAGGTTAGTTTAGTGCAATAAAATAGATTTTTTAAAATTTGACATTTTAGCATGTTTTGGCCATTTTCTCTAAAACACAATTTGCGACGAGTGACTGGTTTGGCTGGTCTTTGCCACAAATGTGATACACTGTATAAACTTTACTAACACTGTATTACTAAAGATTTAAACCTCTCTGTTTGCCTATTTTTCTTTGAGTAACATTCTTAATCTGTACCTCTCACTATATTAATATGTATGCCTGCAATAAGCAGGTGTGACATGGTATGACTACAACCTCCAAAGCAGAGGGATTGACTTTCTTACTTTTCAAGTGAGCAGAGTACTCTTCAGATTTTCATTGGAAGGTAAAACATTACTTTCAATTATCATCATGATAGACAAACATGATTTTAACATTCAAAATTAATATGATTAGCCTTAATAAATAGTTTCATTAATTTGTCTATTTGTATAGTGGTACCGTGCTAATATTGAAAGATTACAAGCATTCTAAACAGTTAAGCTTTTACATCATTAACCACAGCTTTATCTGGTACACTGGTAATGGATGAAGGCCTGGTTTCCTTAAAATCACTGTTATGCTATTGACGGCAGCTTTCGGCAATGCTGAATGATTGGTGAAAATAGGGAACCTTCACGACTGCAGTAAAACAACTGCAGTGAAAACAAAGTACTGTCAGCGTAGCAATTTTATAAAAGATACTAGAAACACACGATAGAACTCTCTCATAGCAGAAGTGCAGAGAAAGTATGTCATATCTTTACGCATCTCCAGACATATGTGACACCGTTCTCTTTCCAATGACAATTTATGCAAGTCTGTAAATCTGCAGCCGTACATGGCACCTCATTCAATGGGGTGCAACATACGACTGGAGATAAAAAAAAACTTACGCTAGTATACGGTTTTTATACATGGAGAGTTGTATCTTGTATCATTATCTTTGATTTTATGGAAACCATGATTTATATAGCATGTGCAATAATAATTTATGTGCTTTTAACAAATGTTATCTCTTGCCTTCATTGACAAGCTTCTTGACTGCTGTTTTTGTGTCATAATTCTGCTCATTCCACCACCGCTCAAAGAAAGCCACTTCCACATAGATGAATCGCCTCTTGGGGTCTTTTAACAATTCTGACACAACAGAATCAAGGATATATTGTACACCTGCATGCTGTATACTATTTTCAGCTAATATGGAGATTTAAAAAAATTAGGAGTTTGTTATTAAATCTTTTCCATTTCTCATATATAATTTATGCATTTCATAAAATATAACTAAATTAATGACACAAAAATGAGACAGGATTTCGAGCAGTGAACTGAATCAAACAATAAAAAGGGATAATATTGATTTATTACAAAAAAAGCAAATGAAATTAGTATAGCAGCACCTTCTTTAGACTAAAAAGATTTAGTGAATTTTTAGATCTGATGAAAACAACTAAAAGATGAATTTGCAACCTTGTTACATGTGATATTGAACTGCAGCCCACCAACAGTGTAGACTTTGGTTAAATAAGCGTTTGTTTTGGTTATTATGTAATTTAACCAAACCATAGGCGACACACCTAAATTAAAAATTTAAAGTATTTTTTTAATATTTTAGAAACTGTTGTTTTTAGTATGATCCAACAGGTACTATTTATAAAAACTAAATAATAAAGGACGACCTACATCCCATATAATACTGGTCCACAGTCTTCAGCCAGCCTACATCATCATGTGTGTGAGGCACAAGATGTACATTCAATACTGATGGATCAGGATGGGTAGGGTTACAAGCCTGAAATGAAAAGAAAATTTATTATTAAATTCTATAGTGATGAAGCAGCTGGTGCAGTAGTTGCATTCAGTCTCTCAACATTACAGTTTTTTTTATCTTGGTTTAAAATGGCCCAAAGTTACATAGCTACCAAGAATCACTCATCTGGCATGAGGCTCACCCTTTCAGACTTGATCTCAAGCTCTCATGCCAGCTCCTTAAAATCTCAAGTCCTTTGTGCAATTCAAACTATTTCCGGTAATTCACACTATAAACAATATCTTCTCTTGGTGACATACTGTAGTATTCAATTCTCAAATACGGCCTGTACTAAGTTAGGACATTTTTTCAAAGTTTGGGAGTGCCAAAAATTAAAATTTCCTCAACCAACCATGGTGAGACTGAGATGGGCAAGGAATCTCAAGCCAACAATACCTCCCAAATTGGCAGTTATGACGTTAATATCATCATTAACTTTATCTTTACGGCCATGTTCATGACCAATTGTTTATGAGTTTGTAAAGTGACAAAGGAAGAACTACTAGTTATTAGCAGGCTGGTCATAGCAGAATTCTTTTGCTGAAAATCAGAATATTACATTTTTTTTTAAAAATCTGTAAACTTGATTTTTGTTTTATTCTGTCACACCCACTATATTGGTCCTATCGTCCTGGCATACCTGGGCCTAATTGTCTCAGATTTTGTTGATGTTTATAGTGGGGTACCCCAGGGAAGTGTCCTTGGACCAATTATTTTTTTAATGTACATTAAAGATATAGCATATAATGTCCAATCTACAGTAACAACATCTGCAGATGATACAAAGATTTACAATGTTTCGGTAATTTGTTGCAAGAAGAAAGTGTTCTACAAGAATGGTCGGAAAGGTGGCAACTTTCATTTCAGTGCTAGTAAATGTCGTTGAATGCACATTGGAACAAAGAGAGATGAAGTTAGTGCAGTTTATGGTTTAAGAGACAGTGTTTCGGGCCACTTGGAGCAGATTGAAGAGGTAGATTCTGAAAAGGATTTGAGTAATTTTTTTGATAAAAAAACTGAATTTTTAAGATCACCAGGATTCATCCATTCAAGCTTTACAAAAGTCATTTTAGATTGGATTTTAGAAAGTATTCTTTTTCATGTCGGGTGGTAGACCCATGGAATAACTTGCCTAAATCAGTTATTGATGCTAGTTCCCTTTTAAATCGCGCTTAAATGAGGCATGGAAAAACCATCCATTAAAATTTTTTTCTAATTTTACTGTCTTCAAACTCTCATGCACCAGTTTTGAAGTTGGGCTATATATAAGCAATTTTGTTTTATTTTTTTCTACCAGCCCAGAAGTTTAATAGTTAACTGAGTTACAGACAAGCATTAATTTTGATCAAATTATTTCAAGCACACAACATGAACACCTGTGGTCATTGCAATTGAGGTTTGCTAGGCCTACATAGCCAGGCCTCTAGGAAGTACAACTACGGGGTCAGTGCATTTGTCCGAAGGTCCATTGGTCCGAAGGGTCTTTGTTCCGAAGTAATTAATTGAAATATAGACAAAAATATATTTGAAGAAAACACATGATAGGGACCACCATGTAGGTCTATATTGGCTAACAGTATACAAATTATTGCTAGCATGACTTGTCAGCTCAGTTTATGTATATTTTTAACAAATTATTAGAAATTGAAAAGATTCCAAGCGAATGGAGCGCAAGTATAACTTCCTAATGTTGAAGCAGGAGACAGAAAAGATTTTAATAACAATAGGGGAATTCAA